AAATTCTACACAAGGCAGCAAGCAGAGGACTATATCAAGGTTGACAATTTCGATGATGATGTGTTAAACATTTGGACAGATGGAAGCTGCAATCGTAACTTCAAGATAGTGAATGGAACGAAATCTTTCTCAAGCATTTTGGCATCTTATGCAGAAATTGGCGTGTTTTTTTCTGACAATGATCCGAGAAATTTATCAGAACGACTTCCCGGCACACAACAAACCAACAATCGTGCAGAGATTTATGCGGTCATACGTGCTCTGGAAACATGTGATGTTGATTTGAATGTTGTGATCAACACGGATAGCACATATGTGATAAACTCGTATCTATCAGAATATCCAAAGATAAACGCAGATCTTGTCCTGCGAATGAATTATCTCATCAAAAACAGAGAAGGAAAAACATACTTCAAGCATGTTAAAGCGCATAGTGGTGTGCATGAAAATGAGCAAGCAGATAGGTTAGCATTTTTAGGTTCACAGAAGGAATTTCGGAAATTAAATCTTGAACCTGCTAAGGGAAAGATAGATTTTTATTTTAAAAAAGAGAACAAGGATGATTCTGAGAATGCGACGGACAACTATCTTTTGGAATTTGTACGTGTATTAAATCTTTTGGAACAAGATGCTGATAAGGAAAAATTAGTTATTCAGACGCGAAATAAGAATATTTATCTGATGTTAGAAGAGAATCGAATCGAAAAGTGGTTAAAGAATGACTGGTGCAATGCACATAAACAAAAGTTAAAAGCGCCAAAGGACATCTGTTTGAGGATCAACGAGCTAGTAAAGGATAGGAAAAAATCTTTAGAATTCGTGTACGTCGCAAAGAAAAAGAGACTTTAGCTGCTTGTATTTTTATTTTTTATATTTTATTAATTATTTTATTTTTATTTTATTTTTATTTTATATTTTATTTATTTTTATTTTTATTTTTTTTATTAATTATCCAATAAATATATTATTTATCACAAAAAATTAAATATTTTTTCCAAATTACAATCGTGAACTGGCCTCCAGTTCACCAATAAACTTTGTACGATCGACGAGCGTTACGTCGACGAAGGAGATGGCGTCGCTTGTCGATTACATCAAAGTTTCAGCGGCAAAAGGCCGTCTGCAAGACACAAATATTTATACTACCACCACACCCATGTCTATGGGCCGTTTCAAATGAGGGAGGTGATAGGGAGCATAGGGTATAATTAAATACCGGTTTAGGAAGCGTTATTTGCTCCCAGCGGCCGGCTAGGGAGCAAAGAAACGCGCTGCTATTGGGGTCAGCGGCAGGCTAGACATCCAATAAGCAGCAGTTCTAATTCAATTAACTAACAATAGATTCAAACTTAAACAACATGATAAAATTAAAATAAATTTGGTATTTTATTAATATCTGTACGATTTTATAGCATTTAATAAAGCATTGAACAGATTATTTTTATGTTTGTTTTGCCAGATAAATTCTAGTAAATATTTTTCAATCCTGTTTTGGTTTCTATCCTGTTCCCTGATGAATAGTTTTAACGCGGCCCAGGTTCCTTCGATGTGGTTAGTGTGAATGCTTCCTCTGTATTGTGGTTTTTGAGAATGGTTAACTCTCTTATGCGTCATGCCCAGTTCTTCTAGATGAAAGTATCCTTTCCATGAATCTGTGTGAATGATCGATCCTGGTCTCACGTGTTTCTTGATGATTCTTTTCAGGGTTTGTTGATTTCTGTTTTCTGCTACCACGAAAAAACATTTTTTCTTTTCGGTTCTTTCCACACCTCCAACTACACAAAAATCCTTGTTCCTCTTGAACTTACTTTCATTAATCTCAATGATGATATCTTTTCCACCGATGATCATGTCATCTTCCTCCAATGTGTTAATAACTATATCTCTAAATTTTTTGATGTACTTGACTATTGTATGATGTGATTGGTTGGTTATAAGATCGATCGAAGTATAGTTTATTCTGTTCAACCATAGGTAACTTAATAATAAAATATCGCAAATTTCCATCTTGCTCTTCTCAAAGAATGAATTTCTAACAATTGATATTGTTTTTCGACAATTTTGGTTCTTGCATCTGAATATTTTTTTGAATCTATCAAAATCTTCGTTGTTGCAGTTTTGACATTTTGGTTTGTTAATGAGTTCCTTTCCAATGATGAATTTTATACTTTCTTCTTCGTTAAACAGAATACTTTGTATAGATTTCATGCTATTCATCTTTGTTAAAAATCGTATCTGGTTTTTGTTTTTCTTGCTCGACGAGAACAACAATTACAACATTGGATGATGATGATTAACAAGATCAAGATGTAAAGTTTTTTAAAATCCATTTTGTTCAAACGTTATTTCTCTCTCTCTGTATTTATATAAAAAGATCATGTTTCGTGTTTATTATTTTAATGTCGATTCAGGAATATTATAAGATTTTAGGTGTGAAGAGAACATCGTCGTTGGAGGATATTAAGAAGGCTTACAGAAAACTAGCATTGAAATTTCATCCGGATAAGAACAAGTCGAGTTACGCTCAGGATAAATTTTGCAAGATAAAAGAGGTCTACGATCATCTCTTAAAGGTTAAATTAAGAAAAAAATCCAAAAAATCAAGGGCTAAAAAGCAGACAACAACTCAGCAAACAACGCCAAAAAAAGCTATTACTAAGAAAAAAGAACGAATATTTCTCAAGAAATTTGAACGATTGTTAAAAGAATTCTTAAAGACTTTATTGTGATGCCTAAGACAAAGAAGGATAAAAATGAGACATTGACACGAAAAAAAGAGGAAGTGATTCGGAAAGTGAAGAGTCAAAAGGCTATGATGAAGGGTCTATTCACACTTGATCCTCTATGGGTGATTCATTTCTACAATAGTATAGAGAAGGTTTCCAGGTTAAAGTTTGAAAAAAATACTGATAAGAAAATAGTCAGGAGAGTAAAAGTAGAATCTGAAGTGGAGTCTGAGGAGGAATCCGCGGAAGAATCCGAGTCAGAATCTGAATTATCGAATGAGGAGAAAAAACCTGAACCTGAAGGGAAAAAGTTGAGCGTTTACAATCTTTA